CACAGCTTCTAATTCATTTGCAGTGACTTAACTGGGCATATTTCTGTGGCAACTAGTCAGGATCGAATATTCCACCTGTATTTCAGGGCTGAGTGATGCTCAGTGGTCCTGCCAGAGATCATCATGTCTCCTGTTCTTCTCACCATGTGCTTGAGAGAAAACTAAAAAGTGGAAAACATAAAACTAAGGAAGTTAAACTATTTGTAAATTTTTTTATCGAAAGAACTAGTATTTTTTTTTTGGTTCATATACAAACATATAAATGTAAACATTTTGATTAGAAACCTAGTCTGTGGCATTAAAAATGTTTCACATAAATGTTTTGGGAAAGTATTATATTATAATAGCATCTTCGTATTTGAATTAAATGGATCAGGGCATTTTGAACAACAGCATGAAGCATGGTTTTGTTTTAGATTAAAAAGCTTAGATATACTATGTACCCACACAAATTAAAGCTTAAAAAAATGGAAAAAGTAAACTGCAGAAGATACCAATGCTTTCTGGAATAGAAATGTCTAGTTAAAGTTACAAACTGGAAATGCTTGTTAAAATAGTGATTCCTGATGATTCTTGTATGCTATAAAATTTAAGAACAAATGCTTTAATAACAAGAAGGGCATTTGCTGATAAAATGAGGTTAAGCAAAACATTTGACAAGAAGTAATATCAAAAATCACAAGTTGGAGTGTGTTTCTTATTTGGGTAGGGTGTCTTTTTGGTGGGATTTTTATAATAGCTCAGAGACGAAGGCTCTCTCAATAATGGATATGCTTTTTATTACAAATACTCTGCTCAATAATAAAGCATTTGTTTCATTTATGTTTTCCCCCATAAAGCAGTCAAGTGAAAGATTAATTTACCTGGAACTCCCAATCACCCATTAACGCAAGTCCAAAGTTACAAAGAAATATGAGTTAATGAGTTTTCAGAGCTCGTTGTATCAGTATTACCGGGAAGCCACAAATAGCACGATAAGATTGCCAATAATGGGCTCCTACAGCGTGGCCAATGTAGCAACCCTGAAGAGCACTGGTTTCCCAGGCATTTCCTGGGAACGTGAATGGAATGAGCACCAGGGTGACCTTTACGCAAAGGCTAGGTGATGAGTGTCAGTACGTGAACTACAAATGGGAAGATCAGAGAAAATACTGCAAAGAATGAAGTCACTTCCAGTGTAGCTTTAATTATCTGCTTCAAAAATGCGGCATAAAGATGAGCAGTTTGAGGATAAGAGCAGAAGGTAAACTAGCTTGGTAAATAAGGTGTTCGAAATACAGGAGTCTAAGAGGCAGCTGAAAGCAATGAGGGTAGGATCTGCAAAGGCTGCTGAGAACAATCAAAAGACACAACTGGGGAAGGTATTGCTGCGTGTTTACCAGACTTGGCAGGGGAATAAGGGAGGGCAATGGAAAGCAGTTTGGATTGGGAAACGCAAGACACAGTATTTTTCTCCTGCTCTGTCTTGAGGAGACCCTGATACAATGGGCAGAGTAAACAGGTTCTCTTTCAAAAGAAATGGTTGAGCTCAGGGAGAGAAGCATCACACACTCGGGGCAGTTGGGGGGTAGGGGAGAGACAGCAGGAGTGGGGAGGGAGGAGAGGGTGGGGAGGGATAACATGGGGAGAAATGCCAGATATAGCATGCACCTAAAGTAAAATAAATAAATTAAGACACACACACACACACACACACACACACACACACACACACACAACTTACAGTTATCTGAAAAAAAAAAAAAAAGAAAAGAAATGTTTGAGCTAAATGTTATCTAAGGTCCCTTTGGCGGATAATGGTATATTCTAAACCATGCATTAGTTTCACAAAGTGACTGTCACTGTTCCTTAAACATCACCTTTTAATTAATAGTTATTTGTTTATCTCATTGTCTTTGTATGTTCACATAATGAACTATCAGGAGGATTAATCAAGTTCAAATAAATTAGCAGAAAAGTTAATTACTTTTTGACATTATTTTCTCAGTTAACTCCTCTTAATAATGCAACCATCTTAATTTATATCTCATTTATCTCACACTTTTATAAGCAAGAGCTTCTTTACAAATTATGCCTATTTTCATATAAGCAAAAACATGTATAAAACTCAACTAAGAGTATACATCTCAAAATAATATGTCCATTTCATTCTGGAAATGCAGTACGGAGAAAGAGTAACTTTAGACAGCACTGATGTTGACTGGGCTGGTACTTGCCCAAGGCTCTAGATAAGTGGAAAGAGAAACATGACTCAGAATATTTTTATGTTTGGCATGTATTCCCAAAGCATCCAAATACCCATTGTTAAATGTTAGTAAAATTTTCATAGTGAAGGAAAAATAAATGGTTTGAGATTCTGATTAGTTTCAAATTCTCTTGCTGTGTATCAGCTTGGAGCAAAAACTCAAATTTAGAGATAGACAAATAAAAGAAATCTGTGGGGTTTTTTTTTGAGACCAGTGATATATAGCAAATAAGACTATTTAACTCTGAAAATGAATCATTATTTTAATAGAAAGGCCAATTGACTGAGAGCTTCTTTTTGCTTCTAAAAAATGATAGCAACATAATCCTGCCCATGAGTCAACAGTGAAAGCATAGGAGGGAGGTTTGGAAGCCAAGTTTTTTATGTGGTTCTCCATTCTTTTTGTTGTCAGTACAGATGGATCACTTAAAACATCAGAGCAGGACCCTGTGCCTTGTTACAAGTTTCCTGTTATCTTAAAAACCGAGATTCTCTCGGCCATTGCCTAAAATTAAAATACAAAAGTCGTTATTTCTTTGGTGAATAGGTACTTTTATTGGCCCAGAAGCTCCTTTTAAATCAAACTACTCTTACAAAAGTTAGCATATTATGGCAGTATTAATCATCACTATCTTTTCAGAGATCGATTAAAAAATGCTTATAAATTTAAGAATGAGATGGTACAAAGGATAAGTATATTTGATCTGGAAAGGAGTAAACTGGGGCCTGGCTTCCCTGAAACCTTGTCCTCATTACCTCAAGGGAAGCATTAAATATTTCTTGCATTTTTCTCATAGCCTCTTACATGTGACTATATTATAATGTCAAATATACTACATAACATATCTATTTTTATTTCTGTATCTCTCACATTAAAATTGGTGCCCTCAAAGATGGAACCCATGCCTTCGTACCTCTTCCCATTCCTCAAATTCTAGCTCTGTTACTAGCAAGGGAAACACAGGCAGCAAGGGCTTATTGAATCTAAGCCATTACATTTATTTGAAAAATTGTAACACAAAACTCAAATATCTGGAGTAAAATAATTTCACTCCTTTCTAAGGTCAGCAATAAAGTTAATGAATTAGTATGAGGATGGCAGGATAAGGCTTTGTCATAATCTGACTTTGGTTTCTAAGATATGTTCCCAAACTCTAGTCCCCCAAGTCTACGGGTAATAGTTTATGGGAGAGAATGTAACGGCATCTCCTAATCACCTCTTTGTAACATTTACTTGCCAGTCAATTTCTCTTTAGAATTAGAGTTGTTACTGAGATGAGAGGGAGATCCATGCCACTGTCAGTAGGAGACAGCGCCATTCGGTGCTGATAACAATGCCTGGTGGGCAACGAAGTTACAAAGTGGGAAGGATCTCTTAGGGCATAGCAGTCACAATCTGTGTCAAAGAAAACTGAAAACAAATGAACATTTTGGGGTTTTTAATTAATATCTAATATTACCAAGTAATATTAGATATTAATTAAAAACCCCAAAATGTAACAACATTTTTAAATACTTCCAAAGCAATGTCTCTGAGAAGATCAAAGTGACTAATGAATATGAGCTTGTTAATTCCCAAAACATCACTATGAGAACTTTCAAAAATAGAACACAAAGTGAGAAAGGCGTGAAGAATGACTTGTCTTATGTCAATGGTATGGCTGGACCAAAAGGTTAACATGATGTATCTTCTGCTGGAATTTCTTGAAACCATGATTTCCAAAATAAAGAAAGGAAATATCATCTTCCAGTTTACCAGGAGCATGGTTCTGAGCAGTTCTTTCTCTCTCTCTCACTTCTCTCTCTCTCTCCATATATATATGTATATATATATAGACATACATACATATATATTATAACGTTAAATATACTACATATCTATTTTTATTTCTGTATCTCTCACATTAAAATTGGTGCCCTCAAAGATGGAACCCCTGCCTTTGTACCTTTTCCCGCTCCTCAAATTCCAGCTCAGTTACTGGCAAGGGGAACACAGGAAGTAATTGCTTATTAAATCTAAGCCATTACATTTATTCTAAAACTTTTCACATGAAAGTCAAATATCTGAAATATATATATATATATATCTCATATATATATATATATATATATATATATATATATATATATATGTCTTAGATGCCTAACTTTTTGGCATCTCATATGATAGAGAGTAGATGTAACATGTTGAGTAATTAAAATATTCTGCAATCACAGCTGACAGTTGGCACAGCATATTTAAGTTATAATATTTAGTCAATCATTTAATTGAGAATTCTTATCAAGCATAAAATTCTCTGTGCAGGGGCCTATGTTAGGCACGAGGAATTTGAGGTCACCGAACACACACGCCCTGCCCTCACGGAGCTTACAATCCAGAACCGGAAACAGACAATGAGGAAGAAATGCCACAAATAAGTGGCTATCACATTCTGAAAAGACCTAGAAGTCAAGGTACTAAGACAGAGTATGCTAGTTCCCCAGCCTTGACTAGTGGAACTCAGGGAGGGCTGTGTGAAGAGCAGAACTTCTATTAAAATAGCAGTGACTGCCCTCAATGCACAAAATGCATTTTTGAAGAAGTCCTAGTTCAGCAGACACTGCCTTAGTCGTGGTAGGGGTGCTATAAACGTTCATGACATGCAATAGGTAAGAACAAAAAGGCTAAAGATCTGAACACATTTGATAAAAAATACAAATATATTCAAATACACAGTTTTTAAAAAAGAGTAATACTAACATGCTGTGTTCTTACCCCTATTGTTCCAAAACTTTCTGGCTTTCTTCTCATCTTTTTCTTGCACAAGTGTGTCCAGATCCATTTGATCAGGTACCAGAGAGACTTGGGGCTCGGGATGACATTGAAGGGAGTAGGCAGAGTACCTCCTTCTTCAAAATAACTCATCCAAAGCTTTGTTCGTGCAAATTTCCATTCTATATCTGCATGGTCCTGAATAGGAGAACATGACAACTGATGACAGGTTTCTGAATTAACAAGGTACCATAAACCTCACAGAGAGCCTATAACCTGACATCAAGCGGCTCTTGAACATTAATTAAATTGCTTATAAAACCACCACTGACTCCCAGAGATAGTCATGTAAACATTTCAGACAATGGCCTAACCTAGAGTAGTCCCAGCTCCTTTGTCACTTCTCATCCTTGCTTCTTCAATGAAACAGACATCTAAAATAATTCCTTGTTAAAAACACTGCAGTAATTAGCTATGACTTGAAGATTAACCAGCATCTTCTGCACTGTTAGTGTAGTTTCATTTGATTTAGGCCAGAAATAGACTTTCTGTCTTAACCAAAGCCTTGTACTCCTGCTTAGATTAATGCTACCTCCAGAGATGCTCATGGCTTAGCCTTCATTAGTTGACAGGAAAAGTCTTATTGGATATGTTTTCATATGAATATTACTGTCTACCTTCAGCCAACAGAGATAAACTCAGCAAGAAGTTCCTCTAACAAATGTAGAATTGGGCCTCTCTGACACAGCATTGACTCTTGATCTAACTTTGGACAGACCAGAGAGGATCATGGCCAGCGATTGCCCACAAGCCTGAGGCTATCCCCTTCATCATGTATTACTCACTCCACTATATTAATCTCCTGTGGAAACTTTGGAGCATTTGTGACAATTAGATCTGGGGCAGCCAGTCTCTTCTTAATTTAGACATAAATCTGATTTAAGCAGATCTGAGAAGTAGGAGGTGGTAGAAACTGGACATACATTCATTTTAAGAATTCAGAATAGTTCATAGTAACCAGTTAATATCATATACATGAGCTCATATTTTAGAGTAGGAGAATAATCTTTAACTATGCTTCATTTTGATATTCTTAAATTGCTGTGTGCTGATAAATGCATAAGTTATACATATATTTCTACTCTGCACAACATGGGTTTTAATCCAGATACTGGACATATTGTGATTTGAATAGGAATCACCATACCTAGAAAATGCATGGCCTTATTGTTGCTAAGCAAATATTTGATGATACGGATTGATCCACATAAAGCCTTCCCCCTTTCCCTTCTCTTCCTTTCCTTCTTGATTTCTCCCTCCTTTCCTTTCTCTTTTTTTCTAAACAAGATTATAGGTTCTTGCTGACTATGCCGCATTGGTGAAGAGAATTGTATATATTGTTTCCTGCAGGCCTGGAGAATGGGACTCAGTAGATTTGGCTCAAAGAAATAAAAAGGTAATCATTTAGATAAACCATTGGCCTGTGAATAGTGCCTTCTTATTCTCTGATTCTCAGGGAGCCAGAAATTATGTTATTTTATTGCAATCACTAAGCAAGTGCGCTCTTTGTTCATGATTTAGGATTTTGAGAGGGTCTATCACATAGCCTATGGTGTTAGAAAATCTGGAGATAAAAAGTTCTAAGCTGTTGATGACTAGATTCATCTTCCACTACTCACCTTCTAACTCCTAGTCAACATTTGAAACTAAGCTTAAGGATCCTCTCTTCAGAAGCCTGCTCTGCCTCCGGTGAGTCCTGAGCTGCCTCCTATCTCCAACCCAGTCAAGGTCCCCTCTTTCATACCTTCATGACATCCTCAAATTTCTTTTCTCAATATTGAAATAATTTATTGATCTTAAAATCTCGACTATATCATTTTTTATTGAAAACAGGGACTTTTTAATTCTTTGTGTCCTCAAAATGAAACATATGTCTGGTCTATAGTAGGTGAACAATAAATATTTCATCCATGAACAAATGAGTGAATGGAAAGCAGGCTTTAGTCAGGGACTACATAACTGCTTCTGCCTTTCAACAGTTAAATGTTCTTTTTACATGCTTTACCTAAGGCTCTGAGTTACAGTTAGCAAGACAAGAAAAAAAAAAAAAAGAAAGAAAGAAAAAGGAAAACCTCAGAGTAAAATCTGCTGTTCTGAATTCTGGGACAGGTGAAAGCAAATGCTTGGTATGCTCACGTCCCAAGGAGGCTTCATGTGTGAAGTCCTGGGAACCACACCTGTCTCGGGTTTGCAATGCCTATTCTTCCCTCCACAGTCTTAGGGTTTGGGCTAAGTAGAAATTGAGGTTTGAAGATGATTCTCATCTCTGTAATGAAATTACCTAGAAAAGTACACCTCACAAAGAAGCAATTAGAAAATGTCATAATATTCTTAAATAGTTTTTTCTTCTAGATGAAATTGGAACACTTAATGTTTTAAAAGATCCAAATTGCTGGCAGCTTTCTTGTATCTAGCTTGATAATTAGAGGTCTTCTAATTTTTTTTTGTTGTTGTTTCTGATGTTCTGGAAAACAGAGCCCACATTTTGGAAATGTGTTATTAGGAGAATATAGAACTTCTGACACAAACATTTAGAGACCATAAAAATTTCCAATCATAAGATGCTTAACTGAAGATCAAAGTATGCATAAATTTGGATATTTACCCCCAAATCCTAGGACCTACATTTTCCAAAGGAATTATTTCTGCATTCGGAATACTTTAATCTGTGAATAGATAAAAAACATCTATTCTCACGTTCTGTGCAGTTTTTCATCCGTTATGAGTGTCTCATGAGAAAAATTTGCATCCCAAAAGACAGGTGAAGTAAAATTCAGAGTGTTGCTTGACAAAAAAACAGTAATAACACTTCAGAGGTTTAACTATAGATTCAAAGGTACAACATAAATGTCGTTATATATGAAGAAAATGGGAAAACTATAATTATGCTTATCAAATGCTACTGGTCTAAGGTATAAATATGAAAGACTTAACTATATTTCATTCCACTAAGAGGTCTGCTTTGCTGCTATTGCTAGTGGTCATAGACGTACATCACTAGTGGATAAGTTCAAGAAGATCAGTTCAAGCTTTGTCTTTCTTGTGCGTTGCTATATTTCTGGTGTCCAGAACAGTACTGGGCAACACAATATGTACCCAGTAAGTATGTGTTGAATGAACAAATAAGTAACTTATGCTAAGTTGCTTAGGTTTCAAAGTTTCAAAAAAATACGTATTGTATTGTTTAATATGCTACAGAATTTAACATTGCTTCTGTTAATATGTTGCTTTCCCTGAGTGTTAAGAAACTGAAAATCCTGTGGCTTCTTCCTTTCCCAGACTCCTCTCAGGGTTATGTTTTGTGTCTTGCCCTATAGCTTGACTTTGCTTATATTAGGATGGTAGGTTAAATGGACAGACAGGAGGCAAAACCTATTGGTCACTGCACAGAGATCAGCTGCTTGTTTGTAAGTCAGACCTCACCTACTACTTCCCATAGCCAGTGACTGCCTGGCCAGACGGATTTGGTTTATCTCTGTAATCATGTATAACACGACAAAATTAGATTAATTTATAGCCACACATAGTGTGATACTGCTCAGAAATGTCAAATAAACCATTTATAATTTTTATCTGTCTCATCAATAGCCAATTATAGATTCCTATGATAAGAAGATGGAGTACAGCTAAGAACAACACATTTGAGGGGAAATATTGAATTAAAATAAAGCTGGTCAACTTACAGCAATCAGTTGGTAAGAATTATTCATCATAGCGATTAACATGTTGAGTAGAACAACCAGAGAGATGACATTATATGTCCCAAACATGGTGGCACCAACAAACTCAGTAAATTCATGCTGTGCTTTGACATTGGTCACATATAAATTGATGAGCCCAAATATTGACCAAAACAGGGACTGGAGTGTCTCAAATAACCTGGAATAAAGATGAAATGATACTAATAGCTATATTAATAGAATCATTATACATAAGATATAACAACAAAGTATGGCACTATTATGTATATATAATTAACTTAAACATTAATATCAACAGTAAAATAACCTTTTGGGGCAACCACAAAATTAAACAATAAAAAAATTAAAAGAAAATTGTTTTTTTTTTCAAACTAGTAGAAATAGTGTACTTAAATTTCCCAAGAGCTTTGAAAGCTAAATTTAGTTTCCTGGGGCAGAGAGAAGCAAATGTGGCCCAGAGCCTGTTTCTGCATGGCTACTGAGTGAAGAATGGTTTTTACTTTCTCAAATGGTTGGGACAAAAATCAAAAGAGTGATATTTTGTGACATGAAAACTATGTAAAATTCACATCTCCATATCCATAAATAAAATTTTATTGAAACACATCCATTCTCATTCATTTATGCATTCCCTGTGGCTTCTTTTGTGCTACAATGGCAGAATAAAGTACTTGCAACAGAGAACATATGGCTGAGAAAACCTAAAATATTTACTATCTGTTCCTTTTCAGAGACTGTTTGTCAATCTCTGTCCTACGGCACTAACAGCTAATAAATGATAGATCGCAAATTTTAGGCTTTAAAAAGTCTGCTCTTTTACTGATTTTGCTTTGGTTGTAGGAGAATTAAGAACATTATCACTACTACAGATTTCCATGTTTACAACTAAAATTGCACATAATGCATCTTGTAAGATGGCAAAGAGTCTCAGATGCTTAGATAATAAAATTTGATTTTTTTTTTAATTTCAAGCAACGTTTTATTTATTCTAGCTAATGAATGAACACTGGCTGTTTCTTTCTTTCTTTCTTTTTTTTTTTTTTTTTTTTTTTTTGTGAGCCAGAGAGTCTTGCTCTGTTGCTCAGGCTGGAGTGCAATGGTGTGATCTTGGCTCACTGCAACCCCTGCCTCACAGGTTCAAGTGATTCTCCTGCCTCAGCCTCTTGAGTAGCTGGGATTACAGGTGCGCACCACAACACCTGGCTAACTTTTGTATTTTTAGTAGAGACAGGGTTTCGCCATGTTGGTCAGGCTGGTCTTGAACTCCTGATGTCAGATGATCTGCCAAATAGTCTCCTTAACTTACTCCAAAGAATGAAATAAGCTGAGGAGTATACTGTATAAACCCAAATGGAGAATTGTTTGTTTCAAAGGGATCATAACAATCTATTAGTATAATGCAATAAAATGATGATAGAGCTTTCATACTCCTTGATGAATTATTAAAATGAGACTGTATTTAAATTACAAAAATAAAACAAAAACCTTCTCATAATGCACATGATGAATAAGGAGGTAGGATTTCTATCTGTAGGGAGATGAGCATTAGATTAGAATGGTGTTGCAGAACCAAGCCAATTATGGTTTCTGGCAACTCCCAGCCCCAGTGACATTGTTCTCTGTATGCCCTTTTATGGAAAGGTGGTTCTTGGATAAGACTCTGGAGCTCCTCACCCAATACCTTCATGGATTAAGTCAGTCATGGTCAAGTGACTCAAGGAGAGACAATTCATATAAGGCCAGTGGCCTGTGGCAAAAATGATCAGAATTCCTTCTAGAGAAATTTGCCTTAAAAATATCAAAATAATTGCCCAAAGGGGCTGAGATGACAGGGGTTATGATGTGGAGTTAGAATCACCGGAATGATGGGATGCCAAAGGTTTGAGACAGCACAGACTAAGAAGCAGAGAATTGAGGATGAATAAGCCAGGCAATAAGTAAACTCAGAATATAGATGAAGTAGCTGACTCACCTTAATGCTGATACACAGAGTAACAATCCCATAGCCCAGCACTATGTCAATGCCTGCTCTTCCTAAAGCTAGGGCTTGCTCTAGCTTCTGCCCTTGCAAAGACAAACGCTTACTCAGAAGACTGAAGGGCTATAATTCTGTGCATAATTTTTATGACAAAATGCCGGTTACTTGAAATAAGCCATGAATTCTTGTGCATATAACCAGGAGATTCTAATTAAATATGCCTTAGTTGGCATTCAGGATGTAAACTGCTTTTTTAAAAAGGTGAAAAAAATTTTTTAATCGAGCAACTAATTTTTAGATATAAAATGTAACTGTTTATTTTCTAGAGCTTTTGAACGATAGAACAGATTGTTGTGAAGTAAAAGGACACTGATCTGATTAACTTTAGCCAGACTGTGATTCTTAAACGGAATGCTGTGCATTCTGCGAGGAAGTGGTCACGTATTCTTAAAGGAAAACCCCGATGCCAGATTCCAACAACAACAGAGAGAATTAAATTGACTCATTGGTCCTAGACAAAGGCCACTAAAGCTATCCTTTGAAAATTTCTCAGGAAAAAGTAAATTTGGCCCATGGCCATGAATTCTTTATTTTTAGTAACTTTAAAGACAATTTCTAAAATTAATCATAGGGTCCTTTGGATTTAATGTGAATTAACTGTATTTTTTCTTTCCTAATGGTGTATATTCTCACAGTGAGTATACACATAAAAATCAGATGGTTTTTTCCTGACATGAATAGCAATTTAAGGAAAGTTATAAGTTAAATATTATAAGTTATATAATAAATCATATAAAATGTTACCACACAAATCCCCTAACAGTTTCTTTTTCAAATAAAAACAATGATGCAGAATAAATGGCTCATTATTTTGAAACGTACATATTTGCTTCTGTCTACATAATACCTACTAATTTTAGGAAACATTAATAACAGTAATAAACACTTTGGCAAATTATTTATTGATGTTTAAAAAAATTAGAGGGGAAAATTCTAAATATAGTGACATTTTATGATTATATATGGATTCTTTCTTTTTTTTTATTTTTCTTCTTTCAGTGGAATAAGTCAGTGGTGAGATTTGAAGACTAGTTCCACTCAACTAAAATATATTTACTTCTCAGAGGAATTAAGACCTTGGTCTTAAAGTATTTCTCAGTGAATTGTTCAGATATTAGGTGGATTAAGAAAAATCAATCTAGGTTAACATTTCAAAGCCATTGCTTCTAGAAATGTTTTTTCTCATTAGTGATTCTCAAATCTACTGATACCAACATTGCCCATAAATTGAAGGATCATTACTTAAAGCATCACATTTTAGAATGCCTTTGTGTGACTAATAATTTTTCTTGTTCTGTGGTAAGTTATGAACTGAAAACTCTCCAACATAATGCCACAATTTAATTCAGTGACACTTAGACAAAACCTGAGTTGAAGACTAAACCCTGAAGGTCTGTGTGGGTGGATTGAGGTCCTGCCTTCCTAATGATAACATTTTGTCTGTTACTCTGAATATATTCCTCAACAGCTACTTTAGAAAATTAGCTTGTTTCCCTGATTGCATATTTACAGCCAGAAAAATTGAACGTCTAAAAAAGTAATGTATTCCACAGTTGAAGTTTTCTTCTATCCCATGGGACTAAAACAATGAGCAAACATAAATTAATACAAAATTCATCTGAATATTTTACCTTTAGTTTATAAGCAAAAATGTAGTATTAAAATAATATATGACTCCAACTGGCCAGTTCCAACCATTAGAAATACAGCTGCAACAAATATAAAAGGGCTTTGCTTAATGAGACAAAACCTGTCACAAAGCCTGTGCCCTTCTTTTCAGAAGAGAGTAACTTACCAGGGATTAATAGCTTAAAATTGCACATAGAATGGTTTCAACAACTAAGCATTCTGTGTCTTTTAATAGCATGTAGTTCTTCTCAGGATAATGAGAAGATGACTGGAAAGGAGAAAGAGGAAATGTCCATTCATTGGAGGGAAACTATATGAAGACACGTAGAAGAACATGGATCACAGGCTGACACTGGGCGTTCACAGCCAGGGAGGAGACCAGAAAAGGCCGTCCGGTAAAGATATCTGAGGTAGGATTTGGGGGAAAAAATTGCCAAATGGAAGGGCAGAATAAGGACATTCTGGAATAAGAGAAGGAAATAACATATTTGGAGATTTATATTTATAATTCATCAGGAAATATTGAAGAGTAAAGTGTTTCTGGGGGATTGAAAGATGAAACAAGAAAAGGAAGTGATACAGAGGATGTTCATCTCCTTCAAATGTCAAGTTGAAATGTCATCTCTGATGTTGAAAGTGGGCCTCAGAGGGATGTGTGCAAATAATGGGGGTGGATTTTGGGTTGCTGGCTTAGTGTTATCCTAGGGGTGATTAGTGAGTTCTCACGCTATTAGTTCTCACAAGAGCTTACTGTTGAAAAGACCCTGGCTTCCTTCCTCTTGACCATGTGATGCCTGCTTCCCTTCACCTTGCAACATGAGTGGAAGCTTCATGAGACCATCACCAGAAGCAGATGTTAATGCTGTGCTTTTTATGCAGTGTGCAGAACCATGAGCCAAATAAACCTCTTTTCTTTATAAATTACCCAGTCCCGGGTATTTCTTCATAGCAACAAAAATGGACTAAGACAGGAGGCAGGGGACAGGCAGACCAATGAAGGACCTAAAATATCAAGCTAAAGAATGTGGCAGTATCCTGTAAGAAACGGGGAACCATTTTGACACTTTAAACAGGGGAGCATCAGATTTGGTTTAGAAAGATAATTCAGGAAGCAGAATGGAAGATACATGAAATAAGGCAGATACCAGGGGCAGGGATACCTAGATTTGGGCATGGGTGGAGAGCAAGGGAGACAATGCCAAGATAATATGGAAGGGATGAGGAGAATACAGGATTGTGGTGATGTTGACTAAGAAAAGGAGTTAAGCAGGAGGAAGAATATGTTTTAGAGAAACTATTAAATTCTCTTTGATTGAATTTAAGTCTTCAGCAGACATGTAGAGAGAGGTGTCCAGTAGACAGCTGAATATATTGTGCAACCTGAGGATAGAAGTTGATGCTAGTAATATAAATATGGAAGTTATATCTTAGACATATAGAGCCAAATCCAAAAGCATAGATGAGTTTTCACAAGGGTACTGTTCAGAAGGTCTCAGGTTAGTATGCCAAGACATGCCACTATTTAAAAGCAGTAATGAAAATAAAAAATTATCAGAGTGAAGTCAGAAAGGCTAGAGAAGTAGGATTTGAAGTGAGAAAAATAATAATACAGGGGGCAGGGTTTCCCAAATGAAGTGTTAAACAAGATAAAATGAAGCAGACACAATATGTAAAATGTAAGCAGGAAAGTATCCATAGGTAGTAGTGACAAGAAGGCTCTAGATGATGATTTTTAGAGCAGTTTCAGTGGAATGATGGAAAGAGAAGCCAAATTGTAATTGGATAAAGTCTGAGTGAGAGGTGAGAAAACAAGATGTCTTGTGTAAGCTTCTTTTAGGGTTACTTGGATGAAGGAATGAGAGAAACAGGAGTGGAAGCTATTGGGCTGCAGTGAGCCAAGAGCACACCATTGCACTGCTGGGCAACAGATAGAGATTTCATTTAAAAAAAAAAAAAAAACAAGATGAAATGATTGAGAGAAGATAAAAGAATTTTGTGCTTAAGATCCATGGTTGTATAAATCTATTTCTGAAACTAATGAGGCATCAATGGCTAAGATTTAAAAATTATGTGCAAAAACAAAGATGATGAATTATTAAAATGAAGCCTTAAATATTGAGGCTAAGATAAAACAGATGTAGAATTAAAACAACAAAAGCATTTTAGCTGTAAGTGATTTTGTTTATGAGAGATTATTGATTTTCTCTAACTTGAGAAATTACCGTCCTCTCCTAGTATACACAATTCTATGATGGCTCATGAATAACGTATGACTTTTAAAATCATCTACAAAATGACAGTGTATTCACACATGCTTACGGTGCGGAGGAAAATCACTTCTCTTATTACTTCATCTGCTTATCAACCATCTGTTTGTCATGGTTAAAAAGAAAAGGGAAAGATATAGAGAGGAATGGCCTGAGAGCTGTGTGACCATCAAACACAGTGCTCATGAAGCTGTGCTGTTAGCAAAAGCGTTATGAATATTACTGAGAGTTGACAATTGACACTGCCTATTAGCTCATTCAGGTGTAAGGGCACAAAGAGTTTTGAGTGCATGATAATAATGGCTAGATTAATCTTGGATTTCCATTTGCACTATTTTTAGATGGTTACATTTTTGTGTAGGCAACTAGAGAACGAAAAGAGATACATGAATGGACTTCATGCATCATGGTACCTCGGAAACAAATGAGGAAATGCTGAAACCTACTTGAATTTTCCAACATGAGTGGTTTTACATATGTTCTATCTTTTAATGTACTTGTAAACTTTCATAGTACATAGTTTACCTTTTTTATTGTACATCTAAAAATATAGTAACTACTGCTTTCTTTTTCATGAAGTCATTTAGAAGGAAAGATGATTTTACTAAAATTAAAAATAAATGTGCCAGGTATTTATTTTCCTGTCAGAAGTTTTCATTTCTACTCAAAGCCACGTTAATTCTGTTTTCTGCCTTAAGCATAATTTTAATTCCCCATTTTCTTTACAACCATTTGTCATAGGTTTTTCAAGTTTGTGATGTGGTGCACTCTAAATGTACAACATTACCAGTAGAAATGTCTATTAGACTTACGTTGAAAATGCATTATTCTGCTTTTCACATCGTATGCCTTTGCAGGTTAACCCTTTCGTTTCTTCATAATAGAAGTACAATTGATTCAGGCCATTTGCAAATGCTAGCAACACAAGGCAGTATATGAATAGAAACTTCAAAATGTCCAGGAGCATTCTTCCCAGAGATATTTGCAGAGGTCCCAGGTGAGAATTTGCAGTAAACAATGAGATCAGACGCAGAGAACTAAAGATGTTTGCAATAGCAAATAAAGCCTCTGCCACCAGCGTGGGATGCCACATGTCCCATGATTCTCGTGGATTAAGGGCACTGTACTGGAGAAAACAGAGAAACAAAGGGAAAGTAAAACAAACACACGTATATAAATATATCAAGGTCAAAGTGCTTTTCCAGGTTGACTCAGCACAATCACCTACTGCCTAGAAGCTGATGTCATTTATGATGCTAGCAGTGATATTAATCCACACAAAAATAAGGGTTTACTAAATCATAACTTATGAACTGTAATCGACCTCCAGGTCTCCAGGTCTGTCCTTATCAAGTGTAGTTTTTGTTAGCATGTTAATTACATGAGTCTTTTAATTTTCTAATTGAACTGTTTTTAAAAAGAAAAGGATACTGTTATATCCAGAAAAAGAAACCCTATCTGAGTTTATAATGGGGAAAGGTATAAATATGATGACAAAGAAAACTGCATCATAAAGGAAAACTATTAAATTTTGAACAAAATAATTGATGACCTTGTTTATGATTTTTGAACACACTTGCCTATTCTGGAGAATACATGTAGGATACAAATTACATATGAATGAGTAGAAGTAGTGATCTGTTGCTATGGAAACAGAAATGACCAATATGGGCGAAAACCATCAGTACTTCCTTTCTGCTATGTCCTAAATGTAAATACAACCTAACTTAGAAATCATCCCAGCAGTCATTGAATTGCTAATTTTTTACATTTTATATGTAGGAAATATAACCTTTATCTGAACATTCTTTAAGTAGGTAAAAGATGTGATTTGAGAATAAAAATTTGGTACTTTAAACTTTGACAAGCAATTATTTGAAAAGCAAGCAGATTAATTAAAATGTCAGATTTGAATTATCCTGATATTGAAACATATAAAGAACAAAATAAAATTTAACTGTGTAAATTTGTATCCTTTTAAAAAAGGGTCAAATATGCTCTTTGAAATATTGTAGTATGAAAATCTGCAATTAAATCTGTATTTGAACTGAACAATAAATTATTTGCTTCCTACACATAACTGAAAAATACGTCTAGACAACCAAGATATTTTTCCAATGGAAAGAAAGTTAGTGGAACTCTGAGTCCCATAGAATATTTTGATTCTTTTAATAACACATTTTACGTCAAAGACCTTTACAGATGTGAATCAATTAACTCTCCTTGAAACTCATAGATAGTACTTTTTTAATCTCTCTGGGGAGAAAATGCATTATAGGCTCCTGATCTTACTCAACACTCAGACTCTTGCTTGACTGGCAGTGTAAAACAATCAAGTTTGAACTAGAAGAAAATTATTTTCTATTTTTAAATCCCGATAAATGTTCTTGAACATTCCCACACATAGCTTCCGCATAAAATAGCTAATTACTGAAGATGTAAAAACAAAGTTAAGATGTTTTTCTCATTCATTATGACAAATATCAGAGTGAAACTTGGATACTAAACACTACCTAATTCTCTCCTTTTAGTCTTGCTATGTATGATGTCACCTTTTCCTTTAAAGACCAACATCACATTTTCCTTCCTTTCCTTACTTCTCTCTTAAAAGACACACATATTTCAGTCCATAAATATTGATAGCTGTCCCCCTATAGTTGATAGCTAATGTTATCAACTATAGAATTAGCTCATAAATATTTATAGTTGATAAATATCCCCCTGTGTTCATAGCTAATTCTATTTCTCTCTCTTTTTAACCTAATATAGCTTAGGACTACATTTCAAAACATACAAAAAAGAAACAAGAAGTATTCTTAAGAATGCAATCATTTTCTTGAACTTCTTACAACATTTAACATAATGCCCTGAATATCGTGGGTGCTCAAGAAATATTTTCTCCTGTCAAGTATTCATAGTCCAGTGAGGCTGATAGGCACAACTAATGGTAATAAAAATGCTCTAGGAGATTAACACAAAGTGCTGTGGGAATAGAGAAAAGGAAGTGATTAATTCTGTCTGGGGTGTCTGAGGCTAGGAATGGATAGAGATTATATGTTGTCAAAGCTTTAAAAGTCCTTCAAATCTAGGAAAGATGCTGTGCATTGTTCTAAGTTTCACATGCAGGTCAGCTGGATGTGGATCCACCATCACGTCATGACTGGGTCAAGCTCTGCTATGGACCTACTGTGAAAAGAGCCCTTCTTGGTAAACTATCTCAGCGAGACTCAAAAAAAAAAAAAAAAAAAAAAAAAATGTTGTAAGAGCAAAGTTTTCAATTTTCACAGATTCTGCCCCAGTATGATTATTCAAGTTGATTTCAGAGTCTAGCTCTTGTAGTCGTGGCCAGGAAACAATGCTACAGGAATATATTCCCTTTATGCAAGATCAAGGCTTTAAGCAAAACATTGCTGGCATCTGAGTTAAAGGATGTTTGAATGGCAAACAACCTTTGGAAGTTAAAGATGGAGACCTCCTGAGAAACTTAGGATCATCTTCCCAGAAGCTATGTGCTTACACTCTCAGAATAATAAACCTAGGGACCTTTGCCTCCCCAGAGACAATTTATTTACTTTAGAAAGTTAAAGAGTCGTTCTCTTTTCTTCTCCAGGGGAAAGGCAGGCAGCTGGCTCAGCTGCACGGTATGAGTTCTGAGACACATAATTTCCAAGCTCCTCTCCTGTGGTACAAACCCGTGTATACACAGGGTAAGTCTGGCTCTCATTAGGCCCCCCACTGGGGACTGGGGAAGGAGGAACAAATGCTAAGTTTGCTATGTAAGTAAATAATTTATCTGTTCTCTGATCCAAAAAACCTCATTTCCTGGCAGGGATTAAGAGTTTAAGTATTAAGTAATTATATCCTGAATTTATTCTTTTTAAGTTTTGCTTTTTGAAATTTTTATCCCATCCTTCACATATACATTTGCTTCAGTTTTTAACTATAGTCATCATTTAACAAAGTGATTTTTATAATTCTTAAAACTGTACCATCCTTTGAATTTGTAAGGAATAATTGTAACTCTTCAATCAGTCAATGAATTTTCCACACCTATTATTAGGAATTAGAGTATTGATTTGAATTTAAAAAAATGTCTTTGGCTCTGCTATTTAAGAGCAATTTTACCCTCACTTTTGTTTATTTTTATTATTTTTATTTTTTTATTGCATTTTAGGTTTTGGGGTACATGTGAGGAGCATGCAAGATTGTTGCATAGGTACACACATAGCAGTGTGGTTTTCTGCCTTCCGTCCCCTCGCCTGTATCTGTCATTTCTCCCCATGCTATCTCTTTCCACCTCCCCACCCCCATCCCTCCCCCATTTCCCCCCAACGGACCCCAGTGTGTAGTGCTCCCCTCCCTTTGTCCATGTGTTCTCATTGATCAACACCCGCCTATGAGTGAGAACATGCGGTGTTTGATTTTCTGCTCTTGTGTCAGTTTGCTGAGAATGATGGTTTCCAGATTCATCCATGTCCCTACAAAGGACATGAACTCATCGTTTTGGATGGCTGTGTAATATTCCATGGTGTATATGTACCATCGCTTTTCATCTTTGCATGTTTGTCTTTGAGTGGCCTCTTCTCAGTCTCCTTTGGAAGTTCCTTGATCTTATCTGCCCCTTAAAAGTTGAGTTCATTTTTTGGCCAGGTGCAGTGGCTCATGCCTGTAATTAGCACTTTGGGAGGCCGAGGCAGGTGGATCATGAGGTCAGGAGATTGAGACCATCCTAGCCAACATGGTGAAACCCCGCCTCTACTAAAATACAAAAAATTAGCCGGGTGTAGTGGCACACACCTGCAGTCCCAGCTACTTGGGAGGGAGACTGAGGGAGAATCCCTTGAACCCGGGAGACAGAAATTGCAGTGAGCTGAGATCACGCCATTGCACTCCAGCCCGGCAACAGAGCAAGACTCCATCTCAAAAAACAAACGAACAAACAAAAACACACAAACAAAGTTGAGCTCACTTTTTAAGCTTCCTCTCTTCTCATTCCACTCATTCTACCTGGATGGTTTCCAGGATTTCAACTCTCAATGATTATTCTCAACTATACATCTCCAGCTGAGACTTCTCACCTAACAGTCCTATTCTGCACTGTACTGTTTGGTTGACTTTTCCAATTCTATATCTCACAGACAACTCAAACTCACATATCAAAAGTGTAACTCATCACCTTTGCATCCTCAGACTCTTTCTCCATTTACACCTTCTGATCTGATGAATGGCAATAGGTCACCAAGTCAGAATTTGAGGTTCACCCTAGAATCTCTTCTTCCCAAGTCCCAGCATCATCTAAACCCAAATCTTATGTAGTTTACTTTCTTTTTTTCATCAGTACCCTCATTATTTTAAAATAATACTTATTTCTCAGATATAACTATAGCACCTTCCTCACTGTTTCCCCTGCCTTATCTCCTCAATCGTCTGTGTATCTCCTCTAGAATCTTTTAAAGGAGCCAATCAGACCATGTCACATACGATTTAATATTCTTCAATCACAACATTGTCCTTGAGATGACCTTCTGATTATTCAACATGCTACATAAAGCCTCTGTGTTTCGACATCCTTTAAAGATTTAACTGCCATTTGACCCTAATTAGACACATAATGTTTTGGCTCAAACTTTCAATACCGGCAATTCTTCAAATTAGTCACACATTCTTACCAAAATGCTTTTCCATGAGCGTTGTACCTTTTTTCTAGAATGAATTTAAATTCCAATTATTTGGATTCTTCAGCTGTTATTTATTCATCAAGTATACATGAGTGTGCCTGCTCTGTGTCAGGCACTATCTTCAGGGTTCACGGTAGTGATCAAAGGAAGATGCCATATGGGCTTACAACATGGTGAAGTCATACAGTAATCAAGCCATGCTAATCCTTTACTCTGACTGCTGGTGAGTGGACACAAGGATCCTGCTGATCAGACTGGCAGCTCCGTGCTATAAAGGAATCCTTGAGAAAGAAATCAAGAGCTACTCTAAACACACATAGGTTTTCCAGATCATTAATTCTTGTATTCCTCCTCTCAATTATTTGTTTTCAGTCTGTACCTACCCTAGTTTGGTTTTGTCCCAATTCTTTATTTCTATTCAGATTTATTTTAAAGAGAATTGCTCATT